AAAACAATCTGAAAATGAAAAATATACTGATTGTCTAGATGAAAGGATGCAATTGATAGAGCAGTAGCTCAACCCAAGGTTCATGAGCTTTTGTTAAAAACTTTAGCATATGAAAGTGCTAATACAGAACGTCAAAAGGCTATTAGACCATTGAAGATTCAGAACGCTCCCTTAGATGAATATATACATGCTTGTATGGACATTAGAACTGGTTCTTACCAAGCCAATGTATTAGCAGCCGCTTAAAAAATTTTAAATTTGTCTCAAATCAAATATTACAATTGTGGAAAATTAGGACATTTGAAAAGATTGTCTGAAGGAAAGGAGAATAGTGAAGGAAAAATATCACAGTGGCCCCACCACCCTCAAGCTTGATCACTTCTTTAGAAACTTAACACCTGAGCTGGTCACATCAAAAACCAGACCAGACAATGGATCCTGATAAGAGTCTGAGCTTGAGGGGGAGCTCTGGTGGCCTAGTGGCAAGAAGCTGCACTGCAATCCCAGAGGAACGCGGTTCGAATCCACCAGATGCTCTGCCGGAGAAGGAGGCGCAATATCCTCCTGTACCAGTCAGATCTGATTTGACGGTACACGCACACAAAATAATAAAAAAAAAATAAAAGCAAAACTTTAAAAAAAAAAGTCTGAGCTTGAGGAAACAAACAAACAAAAAAGCTAAAACCTAACTAGATTAATACGCCTAATTCCAATAAGTACCAACTTAGTCCTCCCCAGGACTCCTATTAAAAGGAAACCCCCCCAAACTGCCGGCAGACCATCTTGATCCTGTCTGCATGCCATGCGACTGGGTCACTCAGCATCCCTCTCAGATCTTGCAATAAAGGCCTGTTCATTTCTTGGGACCAAGTCCTTTATTTCTCTCCCTGACACACTTGTGCTCTTTTTTTTTTATATCTAACAAGATGTAAAGAAAAAATACACGCCTTCAGGGCTCTGTAGAAAATGTGGAAAAGGATATCATTGGACTAATGAATGTAGAACTTTATTTGACAAATGGGGAGCAACATTACAAAGTCCCAGTATTTCAACTCCGGCAAAAAATAAGATGCTGAATGAAAAAAACCCCAGGGGATTGTTTTAAAAAACCTAAATTTAATCTTTCAAGAAAAGGATTAAGATATCCACATTTATGAGGGTCACTGTTGCTCATGCTCTCCCCTTAACGAGCCTAACAGAAAAACCAATTTGGGTGGAGCAGTGGCCCCTAACTAGAGAGAAATTAGAAGTTTTAGAACAATTTAAGAACAATATTGAGCAGGTCATATAAAACCACTTTGGAACTTTGCAGTGTTTGTAATAAAAAAGGAAATCAGGTAAAGGGACTAGTTGGATACTATCAGTAAAAGTAAAAACTTCACCTTTGCAAGCAGATATTACAGGGATGCAAATAAGATGGGTTATACAGGTTATACTAATGGTAAAGATAATAAAGTAGTTAAAACTGACTTGACTTCTGATCAACAGGCTGAATTGTATGCTATTATGTTATTGCAGGACAAGATATAATAGGAAGGGCTAATTTGACTTTACAAACTATGTTGAAAAAACAAAAGGGGGGAGATGA